TTCCTTCATCACCATAGGCTCTTGCTCATATGTTATTTCTTTAAATTCCCCTGTATCTGTCAATTCCTTTCTATATAATGACTCAGTATATTCCTTCCATCTTCTCTTAATACTTCCTGAATCATTTAATATTCTGCCCAGAAGACTGTATTTCCTCTATCAGTCCTGGAAGAAAATAGTTGTTTCTTCAACTCCTTTTTTTTTTGCCTGATTCCTTGAAGATCTCCATGTGGGTTGTCATCTACCTTGACTTGCTTAATCTGCTTATTTTGTTTTCTAAGAGACTGATTTAAAATATACTTTGCACTAATGCTACCTCATTAACATGTATAACAAAGACAACACATTTCAAAAATTGATATCTTAGCGTAGAGGTTAAGATCTAGAAAATGTGTTTTGGAGGTACACAATTCTATAACACCTTCAATATCTTACTACTAGAGGCATTACAGTTGTTGCTGCTCAGTGCAGTGTCATCCAGTCAAGTCCAACTCATAGTGACCCTATCAAACAACAGATCTGAACCTCATCCTGCCTGTTCCATTCTCATCATCTTTGAATACTTGAACCTTTTGCAGCAGTAACTGTATCAATCCACCTGATTGAAGGTCTTTTTGCCAAAATTTCTGAGCATGATTTCCCTCTTTAAGGAACAGTTTCTCCTAAAAACTTGTCTAAAGTATGTGAGACGAAATTTTTTCTACTTTGCCTCCAAGGAATACTCTGGCTATACCTTCTCCAAGACATATCTGTTTGTTCTTTTGACTGTCCATGGGATATTCAATACACTTTTCAACACAACTCAAAGACATCAATTCTTCATGTGTCATTCTTATTCATTGCCTAGCTCCCAGATGCATAACAAGTGACTAAAAAGATCATGGCCTGAACCAGGTGCACTTTAGTCCTCAAACTAACATTATTGTTGCTCAATAGTTTGGAGAAGTCCCTAGCTATTGACTTTCCCAGTGCAGTATGTCTCCTGATTTCCTGACTGCTGTTACCAAGAGTGCTAATTATGGATTCAAGCAAAATGAAGTCATTGACAGTTTCAATCTTTTCTCCATCATGATATTATCTAGCAGTCCAGTGGTGAGAATTTTGTTCTTTTAGTATTAAAATATAATCCATGTTAAAGGCAGTGGTCTTAGATCTTCTGTGGCAAATGTTTCAAGTCCTCTTCACTTTTCACCAAGCAAGTGGCATCAAGAACTCTTAAAAACTTACAGCTCCATTATACTTTCATTTGAAAATTTAAAAGCATACTGAATTATTCACTAGAAGTGCATATGTCTATGATAGTATTTAAGACTAAGTTAATATGAAAAAAACTTTGGTTCTAATCTCAAATTTAACCCTTTATAATTTGATTCCAAAAATATTTTTTATTTAACACTCTCTGCAAACTTCATTTTCTTAGAATTTCTCTATTTTCTCTTTTAAAAAGACCTTTTGAATTTATATAACAATTTAGAATCAATCTCTTTGAAAATATCTAACTAAATGTTATATCTTGACTCAGTTGAAAATTTATAGTCTTAAGTGATAAAACTAGATCTGGAAGAAAAAGAAATAAAGCATTGGCTAAAACAGCTTCATTAAGAAAACAGTGCTAGAAATCAGCATTCACTTTAGAGTGTAGAGAGCTCTGGGGCTTGGTCCTTCAGAAGTTGTGTTGCAAACCTAAAGGCAGTGTCTTTCTGAAAGGCAGAATCCCACTAATGCCTCTGAGGGGAAAAAGCAGGCAACCTCAATGCAATGTGAATATTTTCTTTACTAACTAAGGTGGAATTTACAGCCTCAGAATCCCACTGTAGGATCAGGTATCAATTTATGGCAATTAATTGGGTTTTTGTTGTTGATATATAAAAAGGATTACCTGACTCTTTATACTATGTTAAAGCAATTGTAACAAA